CGGACACAAGCATGCGACCGGACTCAAGCATGCGTCCGGACACAAGCATGCGTCCGGACACAAGCATGCGACCGGGCACAAGCATGCGTCCAAACACAAGCATGCGTCCGGACCCAAGCATGCGTCCGGACACAAGCATGCGTCGGGACACAAGCATGCGTCCGGACCCAAGCATGCGTCCGGACACAAGCATGCAACCGGACTCAAGCATGCGTCCGGACACAAGCATGCGTCCGGACACAAGCATGCGTCCAGACACAAGCATGCGACCGGACACAAGCATGCGTCCGGACACAAGCATGCATCCGGACACAAGCATGCGTCCGGACACAAGCATGCGACCGGACACAAGCATGCGTCCGGACACAAGCATGCGACCAGGAACAAGCATGCGTCCAATAACAAGCATGCGTCCGAACACAAGCATGCGTCCGGACACAAGCATGCGTCCGGACACAAGCATGCGTCTCGACACAAGCATCTGCCGGACACAAGCATGCGTCCGGACACAAGCATGCGTCCGGACACAAGCATGCGACCGGACTCAAGCATGCGTCCGGACACAAGCATGCGTCCGGACACAAGCATGCGTCCGGACACAAGCATGCGTCCGGACATAAGCATGCGTCCAGACACAAGCATGCGACCGGACTCAAGCATGCGTCCGGACACAAGCATGCGTCCGGACACAAGCATCCGTCCGGACACAAGCATGCGTCCGGACACAAGCATGCGACCGGACTCAAGCATGCGTCCGGACACAAGCATGCGTCCGGACACAAGCATGCGACCGGACTCAAGCATGCGTCCGGACACAACATGCGTCCGGACACAAGCATGCGTCCGAACACAAGCATGCGTTCGGACACAAGCATGCGTCCGGACACAAGCATGCGTCCGGACACAAGCATGCGACCGGACTCAAGCATGCGTCCGGACACAAGCATGCGACCGGACACAAGCATGTGTCCGGACACAAGCATGCGTTCGGACACAAGCATGCGTCCGGACACAAGCATGCGTCCGGACACAAGCATGCGTCCGGACACAAGCATGCGTCTGGACACAAGCATGCGACCGGACACAAGCATGCGTCCGGACACAAGCATGCGTCCGGACACAAGCATGCGTCCGGACTCAAGCATGCGTCCGGACACAAGCATGCGACCGGGAACAAGCATGCGTCCAAACACAAGCATGCGTCCGGACACAAGCATGCGTCCGGACACAAGCATGCGTCCGGACACAAGCATGCGTCCGGACACAAGCATGCGTCTGGACACAAGCATGCGTCCGGACACAAGCATGCGTCCGGACACAAGCATGCGACCAGGAACAAGCATGCGTCCAAACACAAGCATGCGTCCGAACACAAGCATGCGTCCGGACACAAGCATGCGTCCGGACACAAGCATGCGTCTCGACACAAGCATCTGCCGGACACAAGCATGCGTCCAGACACAAGCATGCGTCCGGACACAAGCATGCGACCGGACTCAAGCATGCGTCCGGACACAAGCATGCGTCCGGACACAAGCATGCGTCCGGACACAAGCATGCGTCCGGACATAAGCATGCGTCCAGACACAAGCATGCGACCGGACTCAAGCATGCGTCCGGACACAAGCATGCGTCCGGACACAAGCATCCGTCCGGACACAAGCATGCGTCCGGACACAAGCATGCGACCGGACTCAAGCATGCGTCCCGACACAAGCATGCGTCCGGACACAAGCATGCGACCGGACTCAAGCATGCGTCCGGACACAACATGCGTCCGGACACAAGCATGCGTCCGAACACAAGCATGCGTTCGGACACAAGCATGCGTCCGGACACAAGCATGCGTCCGGACACAAGCATGCGACCAGACTCAAGCATGCGTCCGGACACAAGCATGCGACCGGACACAAGCATGTGTCCGGACACAAGCATGCGTTCGGACACAAGCATGCGTCCGGACACAAGCATGCGTCCGGACACAAGCATGCGTCCGGACACAAGCATGCGACCGGACACAAGCATGCGTCCGGACACAAGCATGCATCCGGACACAAGCATGCGTCCGGACACAAGCATGCGACCGGACACAAGCATGCGTCCGGACACAAGCATGCGACCGGGAACAAGCATGCGTCCAAACACAAGCATGCGTCCGGACACAAGCATGCGTCCGGACACAAGCATGCGTCCGGACACAAGCATGCGTCTCGACACAAGCATGCGTCCGGACACAAGCATGCGTCCGGACACAAGCATGCGTCCGGACACAAGCATGCGACCGAACTCAAGCATGCGTCCGGACACAACATGCGTCCGGACACAAGCATGCGTCCGAACACAAGCATGCGTTCGGACACAAGCATGCGTCCGGACACAAGCATGCGTCCGGACACAAGCATGCGACCGGACTCAAGCATGCGTCCGGACACAAGCATGCGACCGGACACAAGCATGCGTCCGGACACAAGCATGCGTCCGGACACAAGCATGCGTCCGGACACAAGCATGCGTCCGGACACAAGCATGCGACCGGACTCAAGCATGCGTCCGGACACAAGCATGCGTCCTGACACAAGCATGCGTCCGGACACAAGCATGCGTCCGGACACAAGCATGCGTCCGGACACAAGCATGCGTCCGGACACAAGCATGCGACCGGACTCAAGCATGCGACCGGGCACAAGCATGCCTCCGGACACAAGCATGCGTCCGGACACAAGCATGCGTCCGGACACAAGCATGCGTCCGGACACAAGCATGCGTCCGGACACAAGCATGCGTCTCGACACAAGCATGCGTCCGGACACAAGCATGCGTCCGGACACAAGCATGCGTCCGGACACAAGCATGCGACCGGACTCAAGCATGCGTCCGGACACAAGCATGCGTCCGGACACAAGCATGCGTCCGGACACAAGCATGCGTCCGGACACAAGCATGCGTCCGGACACAAGCATGCGACCGGACTCAAGCATGCGTCCGGACACAAGCATGCGACCGGACACAAGCATGGGTCCGGACACAAGCATGCGTCCGGACACAAGCATGCGTCCGGACACAAGCATGCATCCGGACACAAGCATGCGACCGGACACAAGCATGCGTCCGGACACAAGCATGCGTCCGGACACAAGCATGCGTCCGGACTCAAGCATGCGTCCGGACACAAGCATGCAACCGGACACAAGCATGCGTCCGGACACAAGCATGCGTCCGGACACAAGCATGCGACCGGACACAAGCATGCGTCCGGACACAAGCATGCCTCCGGACACAAGCATGCGTCCGGACACAAGCATGCGTCCGAACACAAGCATGCGTCCGGACACAAGCATGCGACCGGGAACAAGCATGCGTCCAAATACAAGCATGCGTCCGGACACAAGCATGCGTCCGGACACAAGCATGCGTCCGGACACAAGCATGCGTCTGGACACAAGCATGCGTCCGGACACAAGCATGCGTCCGGACACAAGCATGCGTCCGGACAAAAGCATGCGACCGGACTCAAGCATGCGTCCGGACACAAGCATGCGTCCGGACACAAGCATGCGTCCGAACACAAGCATGCGTCCGGACACAAGCATGCGTCCGGACACAAGCATGCGACCGGACACAAGCATGCGTCCGGACACAAGCATGCGACCTGGCACAAGCATGCGTCCAAACACAAGCATGCGTCCGGACACAAGCATGCGTCCGGACACAAGCATGCGTCCGGACACAAGCATGCGTCCGGACACAAGCATGCGACCGGACACAAGCATGCGTCCGGACACAAGCATGCGACCAGGAACAAGCATGCGTCCAAACACAAGCATGCGTCCGAACACAAGCATGCGTCCGGACACAAGCATGCGTCCGGACACAAGCATGCGTCTTGACACAAGCATGCGTCCGGACACAAGCATGCGTCCGGACACAAGCATGCGTCCGGAGACAAGCTTGCGACCGGACTCAAGCATGCGTCCGGACACAAGCATGCGTCCGGACACAAGCATGCGTCCGGACACAAGCATGCGTCCGGACACAAGCATGCGTCCGGACACAAGCATGCGACCGGACTCAAGCATGCGTCCGGACACAAGCATGCGTCCGGACACAAGCATCCGTCCGGACACAAGCATGCGTCCGGACACAAGCATGCGACCGGACTCAAGCATGCGTCCGGACACAAGCATGCGTCTGGACACAAGCATGCGACCGGACTCAAGCATGCGTCCGGACACAGCATGCGTCCGGACACAAGCATGCGTCCGAACCCAAGCATGCGTTCGGACACAAGCATGCGTCCGGACACAAGCATGCGTCCGGACACAAGCATGCGACCGGACTCAAGCATGCGTCCGGACACAAGCATGCGACCGGACACAAGCATGTGTCCGGACACAAGCATGCGTCCGGACACAAGCATGCGTCCGGACACAAGCATGCGACCAGACTCAAGCATGCGTCCGGACACAAGCATGCGTCCGGACACAAGCATGCGACCGGACTCAAGCATGCGTCCGGACACAAGCATGCGTCTGGACACAAGCATGCGACCGGACACAGCATGCGTCTGGACACAAGCATGCGTCCGAACCCAAGCATGCGTTCGGACACAAGCATGCGTCCGGACACAGCATGCGTCTGGACACAAGCATGCGTCCGAACCCAAGCATGCGTTCGGACACAAGCATGCGTCCGGACACAAGCATGCGTTCGGACACAAGCATGCGTCCGGACACAAGCATGCGTCCGGACACAAGCATGCGACCGGACTCAAGCATGCGTCCGGACACAAGCATGCGACCGGACACAAGCATGTGTCCGGACACAAGCATGCGTCCGGACACAAGCATGCGTCCGGACACAAGCATGCGACCGGACTCAAGCATGCGTCCGGACACAGCATGCGTCCGGACCCAAGCATGCGTCCGAACCCAAGCATGCGTCCGGACACAAGCATCCGTCCGGACACAAGCATGCGTCCGGACACAAGCATGCGACCGGACTCAAGCATGCGTCCGGACACAAGCATGCGTCCGGACACAAGCATGCGACCGGACTCAAGCATGCGTCCGGACACAGCATGCGTCCGGACACAAGCATGCGTCCGGACACAAGCATGTGTCCGGACACAAGCATGCGTTCGGACACAAGCATGCGTCCGGACACAAGCATGCGTCCGGACACAAGCATGCGTCCGGACACAAGCATGCGTCCGGACACAAGCATGCGTCCGGACACAAGCATGCGTCCGGACACAAGCATGCGTCCGGACACAAGCATGCGTCCGGACTCAAGCATGCGTCCGGACACAAGCATGCAACCGGACACAAGCATGCGTCCGGACACAAGCATGCGTCCGGACACAAGCATGCGACCGGACACAAGCATGCGTCCGGACACAAGCATGCATCCGGACACAAGCATGCGTCCGGACACAAGCATGCGACCGGACACAAGCATGCGTCCGGACACAAGCATGCGACCGGGAACAAGCATGCGTCCAAACACAAGCATGCGTCCGGACACAAGCATGCGTCCGGACACAAGCATGCGTCCGGACACAAGCATGCGTCTCGACACAAGCATGCGTCCGGACACAAGCATGCGACCGGACTCAAGCATGCGTCCGGACACAAGCATGCGTCCGGACACAAGCATGCGTCCGGACACAAGCATGCGTCCGGACACAAGCATGCGTCCGGACACAAGCATGCGTCCGGACACAAGCATCCGTCCGGACACAAGCATGCGTCCGGACACAAGCATGCGACCAGACTCAAGCATGCGTCCGGACACAAGCATGCGTCTCGACACAAGCATGCGTCCGGACACAAGCATGCGTCCGGACACAAGCATGCGTCCGGACACAAGCATGCGACCGGACTCAAGCATGCGTCCGGACACAAGCATGCGTCCGGACACAAGCATGCGTCCGGACACAAGCATGCGTCCGGACACAAGCATGCGTCCAGACACAAGCATGCGTCCACGTCTACGTCCACGTCTACGTCCACGTCCATGTCGACGTCCACGTCCACGTCCACGTCCATGTCGACGTCCACGTCCACGTCCACGTCCATGTCCACGTCCACGTCCATGTCCACGTCCACGTCCACGTCCACGTCCATGTCCACGTCCACGTCCACGTCCACGTCCACGTCAATGTCTACGTCCACCTCCATGTCGACGTCCAGGTCCACGTCCACGTCCACGTCCACGTCCACGACCACGTCCACGTCCACGTCCACGTCCTCGTCCACGTCCACGTTCACGTCCACGTCCACGTCCATGTCCACGTCCACGTTCACGTCCATGTCCACGTCCATGTCCTCGTCCACGTCCACTTCCACGTCCATGTCCACGTCCACGTCCATGTCCACGTCCACGTCCACGTCCACGTCCATGTCCACGTCCATGTCCACGTCCATGTCCACGTCCACGTCCACGTCCATGTCCATGTCCACGTCCACGTCCACGTCCACGTTCATGTCCATGTCCACTTCCTCGTCCATGTCCTCGTCCACGTCCGTGTCCACGTCTACGTCCACGTTCACGTCCACATCAAAGTCCATGTCCTCGTCCACGTCCACGTCCACGTCCACGTCCATGTCCACGTCCACGTCTACGTCCTTGTCCACGTCCACGTCCATGTCCAGGTCCTCGTCCACGTCCACGTCCACGTCCACATCCAAGTCGTCCACGTCCAGGTCCATGTCCACGTCCACGTCCACGTCCACGTCCACGTCCACGTCCATGTCCACGTTCACGTCGACGTCCACGTCCACGTCCATGTCCACGACAACGTCCACCTCCTCGTCCATGTCCACGTCCACGTCCACGTCCATGTCCACGTCCACGTCTACGTCCTCGTCCACGTCCACGTCCACGTCTAGGTCCTCGTCCACGTCCACGTCCACGTCCATGTCGACGTCCACGTCCAGGTCCACGTCCACGTCCACGTCCACGTCCATGTCCACGTCCACGTCCATGTCCACGTCCATGTCCATGTCCATGTCCACGTCCACGTCCACGTCCACGTCCACGTCCACGTCCACGTCCATGTCGACGTCCACGTCCACGTCCATGTCGACGTCCACGTCCACGTCCATGTCCACGTCCACGTCCACGTCCGCGTGCACGTCCACGTCCACGTCCACGTCCACGTCCATGTCCACGTCCACGTCCACGTCCACCTCCATGTCCACGTCCATGTCCACGTCCACGTCCACGTCCACGTCCATGTCCACGTCCATGTCCACGTCCACGTCCATGTCCACGTCCATGTCCACGTCCACATCCACGTCCACGTCAACGTCCACGCCCATGTCCACGTCCACGTCCACGTCCACGTCCATGTCCACGTCCACGTCCACGTCCACGTCCATGTCCACGTCCATATCCACGTCCACGTCCACGTCCACGTCCACGTCCATGTCCACGTCCACGTCCACTTCCACGTCCATGTCCACGTCCATGTCCACGTCCACGTCCACGTCCATGTCCACGTCCACGTCCACCTCCTCGTCCATGTCCACGTCCACGTCCAAGTCCTCGTCCACGTCCACGTCTACGTCCACGTCCTTGTCCACGTCCTCGTCCACGTCCACGTCCATGTCCACGTCCACGTCCACGTCCACGTCCATGTCCTCGTCCACGTCCACGTCCACGTCCACGTCCATGTCCACGTCCACGTCTATGTCCTCGTCCACGTCCACGCCCACGTCCAAGTCCACATCCACGTCCACGTCCACGTCCAAGTCCTCCACGTTTACGTCCACGTCCACGTCGACGTCCACGTCAAGGTCCTCGTCCACGTCCACGTCCACGTCCACGTTCACGTCCACGTCCAAGTCCTCCACGTCCACGTCTATGTCTACGTCCACGTCCACGTCCATGTCCACGTCCACGTCCACCTCCACCTCCACGTCCACGTCCACGTCCACGTCCATGTCCACGTCCACGTCCACGTCCACGTCCACGTCCACGTCCACGTCCATGTCCACGTCCATGTCTACGTCCATGTCTATGTCCACGTCCATGTCCATGTCCACGTCCATGTCCACGTCCACGTCCACGTCCACGTCCACGTCCACGTCCACGTCCATGTCCACGTCTACGTCCACGTCCACGTCCACGTCCACGTCCACGTCCACGTCCACGTCCACGTCCACGTCCATGTCCAGGTCCACGTCCAGGTCCACGTCCACGTCCACGTCCATGTCCACGTCCACGTCCACGTCCACGTCCACGTCCATGTCCACGTCCACGTCCACGTCCACGTCCATGTCCACGTCCACGTCCACGTCCACGTCCACGTCTATGTCCACGTCCACGTCCACGTCCACGTCCACGTCCATGTCCACGTCCACGTCCACGTCCACGTCCACGTCCACGTCTACGTCCACGTCCACGTCCACGTCCACGTCCACGTCCACGTCCATGTCGACGTCCACGTCCGCGTCCATATCCACGTCCGCGTCCATGTCCACCACGTCCACGTCCACGTCCGCGTCCATGTCCACGTCCACGTCCACGTCCACGTCACGTCCACGTCCACGTCCACGTCCACTCCACGTCCACGTCCACGTCCACGTCCACGTCCACGTCCACGTCCATGTCCACGTCCACTCCACGTCCACGTCGACGTCCACGTCCACGTCCACGTCCACGTCCATGTCCACGTCCACGTCCACGTCCACGTCGACGTCGACGTCCACGTCCACGTCCACGTCCATGTCCACGTCCACGTCCACGTCCATGTCCACGTCCACGTCCACGTCCACGTCCATGTCCACGTCCATGTCCACGTCCATGTCCACGTCCACGTCCACGTCCATGTCCACGTCCACGTCCATGTCCACGTCCACATCCACGTCCACGTCCACGTCAAGGTCCACGTCCACGTCAAGGTCCACGTCCACGTCCACGTCTATGTCCACGTCCACGTCTATGTCCACGTCCACGTCCACGTCCACATCCACGTCCACGTCAAGGTCCACGTCCACGTCAAGGTCCACGTCCACATCCTCGTCCACGTCTACGTCCACGTCCATGTCCACGTCCACGTCCACGTCCACGTCCACGTCCACGTCCAAGTCCACGTCTATGTCCACGTCCACGTCCACGTCTATGTCCACGTCCACGTCCTAGTCCATCTCCACGTCCACGTCCACGTCCACGTCCACGTCCAAGTCCACGTCCACGTCCACGTCCATGTCCATGTCCACGTCCACGTCCATGTCCACGTCCACGTCCACGTCCATGTCCACGTCCACGTCCACGTCAAGGTCCACGTCCACGTCCACGTCCACGTCCACGTCCATGTCCATGTCCACGTCCACGTCTACGTCCACGTCCACGTCCACGTCCACGTCCACGTCCACGTCCACGTCCATGTCCACGTCTATGACCATGTCCACGTCCACGTCCACGTCCACGACCACGTCCACGTCCATGTCCACGTCCACGTCCACGTCCACGTCCACGTCCTCGACCACGTCCACGTCCATGTCCACGTCCAAGTCCTCCACGTCCACGTCCACGTCCACGTCCATGTCCACGTCCACGTCCATGTCCACGTCCACGTCCACGTCCATGTCCACGTCCATGTCCACGTCCACGTCCATGTCCACGTCCACGTCCACGTCCACGTCAAGGTCCACGTCCACGTCCACGTCCACGTCTATGTCCATGTCCACGTCCACGTCTATGTCCACGTCTACGTCTATGTCCACGTCCACGTCCACGTCCACGTCCACGTCCATGTCCACGTCCACGTCAAGGTCCACGTCCACGTCCACGTCCACGTCTATGTCAAAGTCCACGTCCACGTCCATGTCAACGTCCACGTCCACGTCCAAGTCCACGTCCACGTCCACGTCCATGTCCAAGTCCACGTCCACGTCCATGTCCACGTCCACGTCCACGTCCACGTCCACCTCCATGTCCACGTCCACGTCCACGTCCATGTCCACGTCCACGTCCACGTCCACGTCCAGGTCCACGTCCAGGTCCACGTCCACGTCCACGTCCACGACCACGTCCATGTCCACGTCCATGTCCACGTCCACGTCCACGTCCACGTCCACGTCCAGGTCCACGTCCACGTCCACGTCCACGTCCACGTCTATGTCCACGTCCACGTCCATGTCCACGTCCACGTCAAGGTCCACGTCCACGTCCACGTCCACGTCTATGTCCATGTCCACGTCCACGTCCACATCCACGTCCATGTCCACGTCCACGTCCACGTCCATGTCCACGTCAAGGTCCACGTCCACGTCCACGTCCACGTCCATGTCCACGTCCACGTCCACGTCCACGTCCACGTCCACGTCCAAGTCCACGTCTATGTCCACGTCCACGTCCACGTCTATGTCCACGTCCACGTCCACGTCCACGTCCACGTCCACGTCCACGTCCACGTCCACGTCCAAGTCCACGTCCACGTCCACGTCCATGTCCATGTCCACGTCCACGTCCATGTCCACGTCCACGTCCACGTCCATGTCCACGTCCACGTCCACGTCAAGGTCCACGTCCACGTCCACGTCCACGTCCACGTCCACGTCCACGTCCATGTCCACGTCCACGTCTACGTCCACGTCCACGTCCACGTCCACGTCCACGTCCACGTCCATGTCCACGTCCACGTCCACGTCCACGTCTACGTCCACGTCCACGTCCATGTCCACGTCCACGTGAAGGTCCACGTCCACGTCCACGTCCACGTCTATGTCAAAGTCCACGTCCACGTCCATGTCCACGTCCACGTCCACGTCCAAGTCCACGTCCACGTCCACGTCCATGTCCAAGTCCACGTCCACGTTCATGTCCACGTCCACGTCCACGTCCACGTCCACCTCCATGTGCACGTCCACGTCCACGTCCACGTCCATGTCCACGTCCACGTCCACGTCCACGTCCACGTCCAGGTCCACGTCCACGTCCACGTCCACGTCCACAACCACGTCCATGTCCACGTCCATGTCCACGTCCACGTCCAAGTCCACGTCCTCGACCACGTCCACGTCCATGTCTACGTCCAAGTCCTCCACGTCCACGTCCACGTCCACGTCCATGTCTACGTCCAAGTCCTCCACGTCCACGTCCACGTCCATGTCCACGTCCACGTCCACGTCCACGTCCATGTCCATGTCCACGTCCACGTCCACGTCCATGTCCACGTCCACGTCCACGTCCATGTCCACTTCCACGTCCACTTCCACGTCCACGTCCACGTCCACGTCCATGTCCACGTCCACGTCCACGTCCACGTTCACGACCGTCCACGACCATGTCCACGTCCACGTCCGTCCACGTCCACGTCCACGTCCACATCCACGACCACGTCCACGTCCATGTCCACGTCCACGACCATGTCCACGTCCACGTCCACGTCCACGTCCACGACCATGTCCACGTCCACGTCCACGTCCATGTTCAGGTCCACGTCCATGTCCACGTCCACGTCCACACCCACGTCCACCTCCAAGTCCTCCACGTCCACGTCCTCGACCACGTCTTCGTCCACGTCTTCGTCCACGTCCACGTCCACGTCCATGTCCACGTCCACGTCCTCGACCACGTCTTCGTCCACGTCCACGTCCACGTCCACGTCCATGTCCACGTCCACGTCCACGTCCACGTCCATATCCACGTCCACGTCCACGTCCACGTCCACGTCCACGTCCACGTCCACGACCATGTCCACGTCCACGTCCACGTCCACGTCCACGTCCACGTCCACGTCCACGTCCATGTCCACGTCCACGTCCATGTCCACGTCCATGTCCACGTCCACGTCCACGTCCACGTACACGTACACGTCCACGTCCACGACCACGTCCACGTCCACGTCCACGTCCACGACCATGTCTTCGTCCACGTCCATGTCCACGTCCACGTCCACGTCCATGTCCACGTCCAAGTCCTCCACGTCCACGTCCACGTCCACGTCCATGTCCAAGTCCATGTCCACGTCCATGTCCATGTCCACGTCCACGTCCACGTCCACGTCCACGTCCAGGTCCAGGTCCATGTCCACGTCCACGTCCACGTCCACGTCCACGACCATGTCCACGTCCACGTCCACGTCCACGTCCATGTCCACGTCCACGTCCACGTCCATGTCCACGTCCACGTCCACGTCCATGTCCACGTCCACATCCACGTCCACGTCAACGTCCATGTCCACGTCCACGTCCACGTCCATGTCCACGTCCACGTCCACGTACACGTACACGTCCACGTCCACGACCACGTCCACGTCCACAACCATGTCTTCGTCCACGTCCATGTCCACGTCCACGTCCACGTCCATGTCCACGTCCAAGTCCTCCACGTCCACGTCCACGTCCACGTCCACGTCCATGTCCAAGTCCATGTCCACGTCCATGTCCATGTCCACGTCCACGTCCACGTCCACGTCCACATCCAGGTCCACGTCCACGTCCATGTCCACGTCCACGTCCAGGTCCACGTCCACGTCCACGTCCACGTCCACGTCCATGTCCATATCCACGTCCACGTCCATGTACACGTCCACGTCCACCTCCAGGTCCACGTCCACGTCCACAACCACGTCCATGTCCATGTCCACGTCCACGTCCACGTCCAAGTCCACGTCCACGTCCACGTCCATGTCCACGACCACGTCCACGTCCATGTCCACGTCCACGTCCATGTCCACCTCCACGTCCACGTCCATGTCGACGTCCACGTACTCGTCCATATCCACGTCCATGTCCACGTCCACGTCCACGTCCACGCCCATGTCCACGTCCAAGTCCTCCACGTCCACGTCCACGACCACGTCCATGTCCACGTCCACGTCCACGTCCACGTCCACGTCCTCGACCACGTCCACGTCCATGTCTACGTCCAAGTCCTCCACGTCCACGTCCACGTCCACGTCCACGTCCATGTACACGTCCATGTCCACGTCCTCGTCCACGTCCATGTCCATGTCCATGTCCACGTCCACGTCCACGTCCACGTCCATGTCCACGTCCATGTCCACGTCCATGTCCACGTCCACGACCACGTCCACGTCCACGTCCACGTCCACGTCCATGTCCACGTCCACGTCCACGTCCATGTCCACTTCCACGTCCACGTCCACTTCCACGTCCACGTCCACGCCCACGTCCACGTCCACGTCCATGTCCATGTCCACGTTCATGTCCACGTCCACGACCGTCCACGACCATGTCCACGTCCACGTCCACGTCCACGTCCATGTCCACGTCCACGACCATGTCCACGTCCACGTCCACGTCCACGTCCACGACCATGTCCACGTGCACGTCCACGTCCATGTCCACGTCCACGTCCATGTCCACGTCCACGTCCACATCCACGTCCACCTCCAAGTCCTCCACGTCCACGGCCTCGACCACGTCTTCGTCCACGTCTTCGTCCACGTCCACGTCCACGTCCATGTCCACGTCCACGTCCTCGACCACGTCTTCGTCCACGTCCACGTCCACGTCCACGTCCACGTCCATGTCCACGTCCACGTCCACGTCCACGTCCATATCCACGTCCACGTCCACGTCGACGTCCACGTCCACGACCATGTCCACGTCCACGTCCATGTCCACGTCCATGTGCACGTCCACGTCCACGTCCACGTCCACGTCCACGTCCACGTTCATGTCCACGTCCACGTCCACGTCCATGTCCATGTCCACGTCCACGTCCACGTCCACGTCCATGTCCACGTCCACGTCCACGTCCACGTACACGTACACGTCCACGTCCACGACCACGTCCACGTCCACGTCCACGACCATGTCTTCGTCCACGTCCATGTCCACGTCCACGTCCAGGTCCATGTCCACGTCCAAGTCCTCCACGTCCACGTCCACGTCCACGTCCATGTCCAAGTCCATGTCCACGTCCATGTCCATGTCCACGTCCACGTCCACGTCCACGTCCACGTCCACGTCCATGCCACGTCCAGGTCCATGTCCACGTCCACGTCCACGTCCACGTCCATATCCACGTCCACGTCCACGTCCACGTCCACGTCCACGACCATGTCCACGTCAATGTCCACGTCCACGTCCACGTCCATGTCCACGTCCACGTCCACGTCCATGTCCACGTCCACGTCCACGTCCATGTCCACGTCCACGTCCACGTCCACGTCCACGTCCACGTCCATGTCCACGTCCACGTCCACGTCCATGTCCACGTCCACGTCCACGTACACGTACACGTCCACGTCCATGACCACGTCCACGTCCACGACCATGTCTTCGTCCACGTCCATGTCCACGTCCACGTCCACGTCCATGTCCACGTCCAAGTCCTCCACGTCCACGTCCACGTCCACGTCCATGTCCAAGTCCATATCCACGTCCATGTCCATGTCCACGTCCACGTCCACGTCCACGTCCACATCCAGGTCCACGTCCACGTCCATGTCCACGTCCACGTCCAGGTCCACGTCCACGTCCACGTCCACGTCCACGTCCACGTCCATGTCCATATCCACGTCCACGTCCACGTACACGTCCACGTCCACGTCCAGGTCCACGTCCACGTCCACAACCACGTCCACGTCCATGTCCATGTCCACGTCCACGTCCACGTCCAAGTCCACGTCCACGTCCACGTCCATGTCCACGACCACGTCCACGTCAATGTCCACGTCCACGTCCACGTCCATATCCACGTCCATGTCCACGTCCACGTCCACGTCCACGCCCATGTCCATGTCCAAGTCCTCCACGTCCACGTCCACGTCCACGTCCATGTCCATGTCAACGTCCATGTCCACGTCTATGACCATGTCCACGTCCACGTCCACGACCACGTCCATGTCCACGTCCATGTCCACGTCCACGTCCACGTCCACGTCCTCGACCACGTCCACGCCCATGTCTACGTCCAAGTCCTCCACGTCCACGTCCACGTCCACGTCCACGTCCATGTACACGTCCATGTCCACGTCCACGTCCACGTCCATGTCCACGTCCATGTCCACGTCCACGTCCACGTCCACGTCCATGTCCACGTCCACGTCCACGTCCATGTCCACGTCCACGACCACGTCCACGTCCACGTCCACGTCCATGTCCACGTCCACGTCCACGTCCATGTCCACTTCCACGTCCACGTCCACTTCCACGTCCACGTCCACGTCCACGTCCATGTCCACGTCCACGTCCACGTCCATGTCCACGTCCACGACCGTCCACGACCATGTCCACGTCCACGTCCACGTCCACGTCCATGTCCACGTCCACGACCATGTCCACGTCCACGTCCACGTCCACGTCCACGACCATGTCCACGTCCACGTCCACGTCCATGTCCACGTCCACGTCCATGTCCACGTCCACGTCCACATCCACGTCCACCTCCAAGTCCTCCACGTCCACGGCCTCGACCACGTCTTCGTCCACGTCTTCGTCCACGTCCACGTCCACGTCCATGTCCACGTCCACGTCCTCGACCACGTCTTCGTCCACGTCCACGTCCACGTCCACGTCCATGTCCACGTCCACGTCCACGTCCACGTCCATATCCACGTCCACGTCCACGTCCATGTCCATGTCCACGTCCACGTCCACGTCCACGTCCACGTCCACGTCCACGTCCACGTCCAGGTCCATGTCCACGTCCAGGTCCACGTCCACGTCCACGTCCACGTCCATGTCCATATCCACGTCCACGTCCACGTACACGTCCACGTCCACGTCCAGTTCCACGTCCACGTCCACAACCACGTCCACGTCCATGTCCATGTCCACGTCCACGTCCACGTCCAAGTCCACGTCCACGTCCACGTCCATGTCCACGACCACGTCCACGTCCATGTCCACGTCCACGTCCATGTCCACGTCCACGTCCACGTCCATGTCCACGTCCACGTCCACGTCCACGTCCACGTCCATGTCCACGTCCATGTCCACGTCCACGTCCACGTCCACGCCCATGTCCACGTCCAAGTCCTCCACGTCCACGTCCACGTCCATGTCCACGTCCATGTCCATGTCCACGTCCACGTCCACGTCCACGTCCAGGTCCACGTCCAGATCCACGTCCACGTCCACGTCCATGTCCACGTCCACGTCCACGTCCACGTCCATGTCCATGTCCACGTCCACGTCCACGTACACGTCCACGTCCACGTCCAGGTCCACGTCCACGTCCACGTCCACGTCCAGGTCCAGGTCCACGTCCAGGTCCACGTCCACGTCCACGTCCAGGTCCATGTCCACGTCCACGTCCATGTCCATGTCCATATCCACGTCCACGTCCACGTACACTTCCATGTCCACGTCCAGGTCCACGTCCACGTCCACAACCACGTCCATGTCCATGTCCATGTCCACGTCCACGTCCACGTCCAAGTCCACGTCCACGTCCACGTCCATGTCCACGACCACGTCCACGTCCATGACCACGTCCACGTCCATGTCCACGTCCACGTCCACGTCCATGTCCACGTCCACGTCCACGTCCACGTCCACGTCCATGTCCACGTCCATGTCCACGTCCACGTCCACGTCCACGCCCATGTCCACGTCCAAGTCCTCCACGTCCACGTCCACGTCCACATCCATGTCCATGTCCACGTCCATGTCCACGTCCATGTCCACGTCCACGTCCACGTCCACGTCCACGTCCACGTCCACGTCCAGGTCCACGTCCAGGTCCACGTCCACGTCCACGTCCACGTCCATGTCCATGTCCACGTCCACGTCCACGTACACGTCCACGTCCACGTCCAGGTCCACGTCCACGTCCACGTCCACGTCCATGTCCATGTCCACGTCCACGTCCACGTCCAAGTCCACGTCCACGTCCATGTCCACGACCACGTCCACGTCCACGTCCACGTCCACGTCCATGTCCACGTCCATGTCCACGTCCACGTCCATGTCCACATCCACGTCCATATCCACGTCCACGTCAAGGTCCACGTCCGTGTCCACGTCAAGGTCCAAGTCCACGTCCACGTCCACGTCCATGTCCACGACCACGTCCACGTCCAAGTCCACGTCCACATCTATGTCCACGTCCACGTCCACGTCCACGTCCATGTCCACGTCCACGTCCACGTCCATGTCCACGTCCACGTCCACGTCCACGTCCACGTCCATGTCCACGTCCATGTCCACGTCCACGTCCACGTCCACGCCCATGTCCACGTCCAAGTCCTCCACGTCCACGTCCACGTCCATGTCCACGTCCATGTCCATGTCCACGTCCACGTCCACGTCCACGTCCAGGTCCACGTCCAGATCCACGTCCACGTCCACGTCCATGTCCACGTCCACGTCCACGTCCACGTCCATGTCCATGTCCACGTCCACGTCCACGTACACGTCCACGTCCACGTCCAGGTCCACGTCCACGTCCACGTCCACGTCCACGTCCAGGTCCACGTCCAGGTCCACGTCCACGTCCACGTCCAGATCCATGTCCACGTCCACGTCCATGTCCATGTCCATATCCACGTCCACGTCCACGTACACGTCCATGTCCACGTCCAGGTCCACGTCCACGTCCACAACCACGTCCATGTCCATGTCCATGTCCACGTCCACGTCCACGTCCAAGTCCACGTCCACGTCCACGTCCATGTCCACGACCACGTCCACGTCCATGACCACGTCCACGTCCATGTCCACGTCCACGTCCACGTCCATGTCCACGTCCACGTCCACGTCCACGTCCACGTCCACGTCCATGTCCACGTCCATGTCCACGTCCACGTCCACGTCCACGCCCATGTCCACGTCCAAGTCCTCCACGTCCACGTCCACGTCCACATCCATGTCCATGTCCACGTCCATGTCCACGTCCATGTCCACGTCCACGTCCACGTCCACGTCCACGTCCACGTCCAGGTCCACGTCCAGGTCCACGTCCACGTCCACGTCCACGTCCATGTCCATGTCCACGTCCACGTCCACGTACACGTCCACGTCCACGTCCAGGTCCACGTCCACGTCCACGTCCACGTCCATGTCCACGTCCACGTCCACGTCCAAGTCCACGTCCACGTCCATGTCCACGACCACGTCCACGTCCACGTCCATGTCCACGTCCATGTCCACGTCCACGTCCATGTCCACGTCCACGTCCATATCCACGTCCACGTCAAGGTCCACGTCCGTGTCCACGTCTAGGTCCAAGTCCACGTCCACGTCCATGTCCACGACCACGTCCACGTCCAAGTCCACGTCCACATCTATGTCCACGTCCACGTCCACGTCCACGTCCATGTCCACGTCCACGTCCACGTCCACGTGCATGTCCACATCCACGTCCACGTCCATGCCACGTCCACGTCCACGTCCATGTCCACGTCCACGACCATGTCCACGACCACGTCCACGTCCACGACCACGTCCACGACCACGTCCATGTCCACGTCCACGTCCACGTCCACGTCCTCGTCCACGTCCTCGACCACGTCAACGTCCATGTCCACGTCCACGTCCATGTCCACGTCCATGTCCACGTCCACGTCCATGTCCACGTCCACGTCAAGGTCCACGTCCATGTCCACGTCAAGGTCCAAGTCCACGTCCACGTCCACGTCCATGTCCACGTCCACGACCATGTCCACGTCCACGACCATGTCCACGACCACGTCCACGTCCACGACCACGTCCACGACCACGTCCATGTCCACGACCACGTCCATGTCCACGTCCTCGTCCACGTCCTCGACCACGTCAACGTCCACGTCCACGTCCATGTCCACGTCCACGTCCACGTCCACGTCCACGTTTACGTCCACGTCCGAGTCCACGTCCACGTCCACGTCCAAGTCCACCTCCACGTCCACGTCCACGTCCACGTATAGGTCCACGTCCACGTCCAGGTCCACGTCCAGGTCCACGTCCACGTCCACGTCCACGTCCACGTCTACGTCCACGTCCACGTCCACGTCCACGTCCATGTCCACGTCCAAGTCCTCCACGTCCATGTCCACGTCCACGTCCATGTCCACGTCCACGTCCACGTCCACGTCCGCGTCCACGTCCATGTCCACGTCCGCGTCCACGTCCATGTCCACGTCCACGACCATGTCCACGACCACGTCCTCGTCCACGACCACGTCCACGACCACGTCCATGTCCACGACCACGTCCATGTCCACGTCCTCGTCCACGTCCTCGACCACGTCAATGTCCACGTCCACGTCCACGTCCACGTCCATGTCCACGTCTACGTCCAAGTCCAAGTCCACGTCCACGTCCACGTCCAAGTCCACCTCCACGTCCACGTCCACGTCCACGTATAGGTCCACGTCCACGTCCACGTCCAGGTCCACATCCACGTCCAGGTCCACGTCCACGTCCACGTCCACGTCTATGTCCACGTCCATGTCCACGTCCATGTCCACGTCCACGTCCACGTCCACGTCCATGTCCACGTCCACGTCCACGTCCACGTCTATGTCCACGTCTAAGTCCTCCACGTCCATGTCCACGTCCACATCCATGTCCACGTCAACGTCCACGTCCATGTCCACGTCCAGATCCACGTCCACGTCCACATCCACGTCCACGTCCACGTCCACGTCCAGGTCCACGTCCACGTCCACGTCCACGTCCAGGTCCACGTCCACGTCCACGTCCACTTCCACGTCCACGTCCATGTCCACGTCCAAGTCCTCCACATCCACGTCCACGTCCACGTCCATGTCCACGTCCATGTCCACGTCCACGTCCACGTCCAGGTCCACGTCCATGTCCACGTCCACGTCCACGTCCACGTCCATGTTCCTCCACGTCCACGTCCACGTCCACGTCCACGTCCACGTCCAGGTCCACGTCCACGTCCACGTCCACGTCCACGTCTAGGTCCACGTCCACGTCCACGTCCACGTCTACGTCCACGTCCATGTCCACGTCCACGTCCACGTCCATGTCCACGTCCAAGTCCTCCACGTCCACGTCCACGTCCACGTCCATGTCCACGTCCATGTCCACGTCCACGTCCACGTCCACGTCCACGTTCACGTCCACGTTCACGTCCACGTCCATGCCCACGTCCACGTCCACCTCCACGTCCATGTCCATGTCCACGTCCACCTCCACGTCCACCTCCACGTCCACGTCCACGTCCATGTCCACGTCCAAGTCCACGTCCACGTCCACGTCCATTTCCACGTCCACGTCCACGTCCATGTCCACGTCCACGTCCACGTCCATGTCCACGTCCACGTCCACGTCCACGTCCACCTCCACGTCCACGTCCACCTCCACGTTCACGTCCACGTCCACATCCATGTCCACGTCCACGTCCATGTCCACATCCACGTCCACGTCCACGTCCACGTCCACGTCCACCTCCACCTCCACTTCCACGTTTACGTCCACGCACGTCCACGTCCACGTCCACGTCCATGTCCACGATCACGTCCACGTCCACGTTCACCTCCACGTCCACGTCGATGTCCACGTCCACGTCCACGTCTACGTCTACGACCATGTCTTTGTCCACGTCCACGTCCACGTCCACGTCCACGTCCATGTCCACGTCCACGTCAACGTCCACGTCCACGACCAGGTCCACGTCCACGTCCATGTCCACGTCCAAGTCCACGTCCACGTCCACGTCCACGTCCATGTCCACATCCATGTCCACGTCCACGTCCACGTCCACGTCCACGTCCACGTCCACGTCCATGTCCATTTCCACGTCCACGTCCACGTCCACGTCCATGTCCACGTACACGTCCACGTCCACGTCCACGTCCATGTCCACGTCCATGTCCACGTCCACGTCCACGTCCACGTCCACGTCCACGTCCATGTCCACGTCCACGTCCACGTCCACCTCCACGTCCACGTCCATGTCCACGTCCATGTCCATGTCCACGTCCACGTCCACCTCCACGTCCACGTCCACGTCCATGTCCACGTCCACGTCCACGTCCACGTCCACCTCCATGTCCACGTCCACGTCCATGTCCACGTCCACGTCCACGTCCACGTCCACGTCCACGTCCACGTCCACCTTCACGTCCACGTCCACCTCCACGTCCACGTCCACGTCCATGTCCACGTCCACATCCATGTCCACGTCCACGTCCACCTTCACGTCCACGTCCACCTCCACGTCCACGTCCACGTCCATGTCCACGTCCACATCCATGTCCACGTCCACGTCCACGTCCACGTCCATGTCCACGTCCACGTCCACCTCCACTTCCACGTTTACGTCCACGCACGTCCACGTCCACGTCCACGTCCATGTCCACGATCACGTCCACGTCCACGTCCACCTCCACGTCCACGTCGAAGTCCACGTCCACGTCCACGTCTACGTCTACGACCATGTCTTCGTCCATGTCCACGTCCACGTCCACGTCCACGTCGATGTCCTCGTCCTAGTCCTCCACCACGTCCATGTCCACGTCCACGTCCACGTCCACGTCCATGTCTACGTCCACGTCCACGTCCACGTCCACGTCCATGTCCACGTCCACGTCCACGTCCACGTCTACGTCCATGTCCACGTACACGTCCACGTCCACGTCCATGTCCACGTCCACGTCCACGTCCTCGTCCACGTCCAGGTCCACGTCCACGTCCACGTCCATGTCCACGTCCACGTCCACGACCATGTCGACGTCCACGTCCACGTCGACATCGTCGTCCACGTGCATGTCCACGTCCTCGTCCACGTCCACGTCCACGTCCACGTCCACCTCCACGTCCACGTCCACGTCCATGTCCACGTCCTCCACCTCCACGTCCACGTCCACGTCCATGTCCACGTCCACGTCCACGTCCACGTCCATGTCCACGTCCACGTCCACGTCCATGTCCATGTCCACGTCCACGTCTACGTCTATGTCCACGTCCACGTCCACGTCCACGTCCACGACCACGTCTTCGTCCACGTCCACGTCCACGTCCACGTCCATGTCCATGTCCACGTCCACGTCCACGTCCAAGTCCACGTCCACGTCCACGTCCATGTCCACCACCACGTCCACGTCCACGTCCACGTCCAGGTCCAGGTCCACGTCCACGTCCATGTCCACGTCCACGTCCACGTCCACGTCCACGTCCATGTCCACGTCTACGTCCAGGTCCACGTCCACGACCACGTCCACGTCCACGTCTACGTTCACGTCCACGTCCACGTCCATGTCCACGTCCACGTCCACGTCCACGTCCACGTCCACGTGCTCGTCCACGTCCACGACCACGTCCACGTCCACGTCCACGTCCACGTCCACGTCCACGACCACATCCACGTCCACGTCTACGTCCATGTCCACGTCCACGACCATGTCTTCGTCCACTACCACGTCCACGTCTACGTCTACGTCCATGTCGACGTCCAAGTCCTCCAGGTCCACGTCCACCTCCACGTCCACGTGCATGTTCACGTCCATGTCCACGTCCACGTCTACGTCCACGTCCACGTCAATGTCCACGTCCACGTCCACGTCCACGTCCACGTCTATGTCCACGTCCATGTCCACGTCTACGTCCACGTCCACGTCCATGTCCACGTCCACGTCCACGTCCATGTCCACGTCCATGTCCACGTCCACGTCCATGTCCACCTCCATGTCCACGTCCACGTCCACGTCCACGTCCACGTCCCAACCACGTCCACGTCCTCGTCCACGTCCACGTCCATGTCCACGTCCACGTCCACGTCCACGTCTACGTCCACGTCCATGTCCACGTCCAAGTCCTCCAAGTCCACGTCCACGTCCATGTCCACGTCCAAGTCCTCCACGTCCACGTCCACGTCCTTGTCCACGTCCACGTACACGTCCACGTCCACGTCCATGTCCACGTCCACGTCCACGTCCACGTCCATGTCCACGTCCATGTCCACGTCCACGTCCACATCCACGTCCACGTCCACGTCCACTTCCACGTCCACGTCCATGTCTACGTCCACGTCCACGTCCACGTCCATGTCCACGTCCATGTCGATGTCCACGTCCACGTCCACGTCCATGTCCATGTCCACGTTCACGTCCACGTCCAAGTCCTCAACGTCCACCTCCTCCACGTCCACGTCCACGTCAACGTCCACGTCAACGTCCACATCCACGTCCACGTCCACGTCCTCCACGTCCACGTCCACGTCCTCCACGTCCACGTCCACGTCCACGACCACGTCTACGTCCACGACCACAACCACCTCCATGATCACGTCCACGTCCACGACCACGTCCACGTCCACGTCTAAGTCCATGTCGTGGACGACAACGTCCACGTCTACGACCACGTCCACAACCAGGACCACGTCCACGTCCACGACCACGTCCACGTCCACGTTCATGTCCACGTCCAAGTCCTCCACGTCCATGACCACGTCCACGTCCACCTCCACGTCGACCACGACCACGTCCACGTCCATGTCCACGTCCACGTCCACGTCCATGTCCACGTCCACGTCCATATCCACGTCCATGTCCACGTCCATGTCCACGTCCACGTTCACGTCCACGTCCATGTCCACGTCCACGTCCACGTCCATGTCCACGCCAAGGTCCTCGTCCACGTCCACGTCCACGTCCACGTCCATGACCACGTCCAAGTTCACGTCCACGTCCATGTCCACGTCCACGTCCACGTCCACGTTCACGTCCAGGTCCACGTCCACGTCCATGTCCACGTCCATGTCCACGTCTATGACCATGTCCACGTCCATGTCCACGTCCACGTCCACGTCCACGTCCACGTCCATGTCCACGTCCATGTCCACGTCCAGGTCCATGTCAACGTCCACTTCCACGTCCATGTCCACGTCCACGTCCACGTCCGCGTCCATGTCCACGACCACGTCCGCGTCCACGTCCGCGTCCATGTCCACGTCCATGTCCATGTCCACGTCCATGTCCATGTCCACGTCCATGTCCACGTCCATGTCCACGTCCATGTCCATGTCCACGTCCACGTCCACGTCCATGTCCACGCCCATGTCCACGTACACGTCCACGTCCATGTCCACGCCCATGTCCACGTCCACGTCCACGTCCATGTCCATGTCCATGTCCATGTCCACGTCCACGTCCACGTCCATGTCCACGCCCATGTCCACGTCCACGTCCACGTCCATGTCCACGTCCACGTCCATGTCCACGTCCACGTCCACGTTCACGTCCATGTCCACGTCCACGCCCACGTCCACGTCCGTGTCCACGTCCACGTCCATGTCCATGTCCACGCCCATGTCCACGTCCACGTCCACGTCCATGTCCACGCCCATGTCCACGTCCACGTCCACGTCCATGTTCATGTCCATGTCCACGTCCACGTCCACGTCCACGTCCATGTCCACGCCCATGTCCACGTCCACGTCCATGTCCACGTCCACGTCCATGTCCACGTCCACGTCCACGTCCATGTCCACGTCCACCTCCATGTTCATGTCCACGTCCACGTCCATGTCCACGTCCACGTCCACGTTCACGTCCACGTCCACGTTCACGTCCAGGTCCACGTCCTCGTCCACGTCTATGACCATGTCCACGTCCATGTCCACGTCCACGTCCATGTCCACGTCCACGTCCACGTCCACGTCCACGTCCATGTCCACGTCCACGTCCACGTCCAGGTCCATGTCCACGTCCACTTCCAGCGTCCACGTCCGCGTCAATGTCCATGTCCATGTCCACGTCCACGTCCACGTCCACGCCCATGTCCACGTCCGCGTCCACGTCCACGTCCACGTCCATGTCCACGCCCACGTCCACGTCCACGTCCACGTCCATGTCCACGCCCATGTCCACGTCCACGTCCACGTCCACGTCCATGTCCACGCCCATGTCCACGTCCACGTCCACGTCCATGTCCACGTCCACGTCCATGTCCACGTCCACGTCCACGTCCACGTCCACGCCCATGTCCACGTCCACGTCCACGTCCACGTCCATGTCCACGTCCATGTCCACGTCCACGTCCACGTCCACGTCCACGTCCACGTCCACCTCCATGTCCACCTCCATGTCGACGTCCACGTCCAGGTCCACGTCCACGTCCACGTCCACGTTCACGTCCACGTCCACGTTCACGTCCAGGTCCACGTCCACGTCCACTTCCACGTCCATGTCCACGTCTATGACCATGTCCACGTCCATGTCCACGTCCACGTCCACATCCACGTCCACGTCCACCTCCACCTCCACGTCCACGTCCACGTCCACCTCCACGTCCACGTCCACGTCCACGTCCACGTCCACGTCCACCTCCACGTCCACGTCAACGTCCACGTCCACCTCCACGTCCACGTCCACGTCAACGTCCACGTCGACGTCCACCTCCACGTCCACATCCACCTCTACGTCCACGTCCACGTCCACGTCCACGTCCACGTCCACGTCCACCTCCACGTCCATGTCCATGTCCATGTCCACGTCCACGTCCACGTCCACGTCCATGTCCACGTCCACGTCCACGTCCACGTCCATGTCAACGTCCAAGTCCTCCACGTCCACGTCCACGTCCACGTCCACGTCCTCGTCTAGGTCCACTTCTACGTCCAGGTCCACGTCCACGTCCACGTCCAAGTCCTTGTCCACCTCCACGTCCGTGTCAACGTCCACGTCCACGTCCACGTTCACGTCCAAGTCCACGTCTACGTCCACGTCCATGTCCACGTCCAAGTCCTCCACGTCCACGTCCACGTCCACTTCCACGTCCATGTCCACGTCCACTTCTACGTCCAGGTCCACGTCCACGTCCACGTCCACGTCCACGTCCACCTCCACGTCCGTGTCCACGTCCACGTCCACGTCCACGTTCAAGTCCAAGTCCACGTCCACGTCCACGTCCATGTCCATGTCCACGTCCACGTCCACGTCCACGTCCACTTCCACGTCCACGTCCACGTCCACGTCCACGTCCACCTCCACGTCCACGTCCACGTCCACCTCCACGTCCACGTCCATGTCCACGTCCATGTCCACGTCCATGTCCACGTCCACGTCCACGTCCACGTCCATGTCCACGTCCACGTCTACGTCCACGTCCAGGTCCACGTCCACGTCCACTTCCACGTCCATGTCCACGTCTATGACCATGTCCACGTCCATGTCTACGTCCACGTCCACATCCACGTCCACGCCCACCTCCACCTCCACGTCCACGTCCACGTCCACGTCCACCTCCACGTCCACGTCCACGTCCACGTCCACCTCCACGTCCACGTCAACGTCCACGTCCACCTCCACGTCCACGTCCACGTCAACGTCCACGTCCACGTCCACCTCCACGTCCACATCCACCTCCACGTCCACGTCCACGTCCACGTCCACGTCCACGTCCACGTCCACGTCCACCTCCACCTCCACGTCCATGTCCATGTCCATGTCCACGTCCACGTCCACGTCCACGTCCATGTCCACGTCCACGTCCACGTCCACGTCCATGTCAACGTCCAAGTCCTCCACGTCCACGTCCACGTCCACGTCCTCGTCTAGGTCCACTTCTACGTCCAGGTCCACGTCCACGTCCACGTCCAAGTCCTTGTCCACCTCCACGTCCGTGTCAACGTCCACGTCCACGTCCACGTTCACGTCCAAGTCCACGTCTACGTCCACGTCCATGTCCACGTCCAAGTCCTCCACGTCCACGTCCACGTCCACTTCCACGTCCATGTCCACGTCCACTTCTACGTCCAGGTCCACGTCCACGTCCACGTCTACGTCCACCTCCACGTCCGTGTCCACGTCCACGTCCACGTCCACGTTCAAGTCCAAGTCCACGTCCACGTCCACGTCCATGTCCATGTCCACGTCCACGTCCACGTCCACGTCCACTTCCACGTCCACGTCCACGTCCACGTCCACGTCCACCTCCACGTCCACGTCCACGTCCACGTCCATGTCCACGTCCACGTCCACGTCCAAGTCCACGTCCACCTCCACGTCCACGTCCACGTCCACGTCCACGTCCACGTCAACGTCCACGTCCACGTCCACGTCCATGTCCACGTCCACGTCCATGTCCACGTCCACGTCCACGTCGACGACCATGTCCACGTCCACGTCCACGTCCAGGTCCACGTCCACGTCCACGTCCATGTCCATGTCCACATCCACGTCCATGTCCACGTCCACGTTCATGTCTACGTCCATGTCCACGTCCATGTCCACGTCCATGTCCACGTCTACGTCCACGTCCACGTCAATGTCCACGTCCACGTCAATGTCCACGTCCACGTCCACGTCCACGTCTATGTCCACGTCCATGTCCACGTCTACGTCCACGTCCACGTCCATGTCCACGTCCACGTCCACGTCCATGTCCACGTCCATGTCCACGTCCACGTCCATGTCCACCTCCATGTCCACGTCCACGTCCACGTCCACGTCCACGTCCCAACCACGTCCACGTCCTCGTCCACGTCCACGTCCATGTCCACGTCCACGTCCACGTCCACGTCTACGTCCACGTCCATGTCCACGTCCAAGTCCTCCACGTCCATGTCCACGTCCATGTCCACGTCCAAGTCCTCCACGTCCACGTCCACGTCCCTGTCCACGTCCACGTACACGTCCACGTCCACGTCCATGTCCACGTCCACGTCCACGTCCACGTCCATGTCCACGTCCATGTCCACGTCCACGTCCACATCCACGTCCACGTCCACGTCCACTTCCACGTCCACGTCCATGTCTACGTCCACGTCCACGTCCACGTCCATGTCCACGTCCATGTCCACGTCCACGTCCACGTCCACGTCCATGTCCACGTCCACGTTCACGTCCACGTCCAAGTCCTCAACGTCCACCTCCTCCACGTCCACGTCCACGTCAACGTCCACGTCAACGTCCACATCCACGTCCACGTCCACGTCCTCCACGTCCACGTCCACGTCCTCCACGTCCACGTCCACGTCCACGACCACGTCTACGTCCACGACCACAACCACCTCCATGATCACGTCCACGTCCACGACCACGTCCACGTCCACGTCCAAGTCCATGTCGTGGACGACAACGTCCACGTCTACGACCACGTCCACGACCAGGACCACGTCCACGTCCACGACCACGTCCACGTCCACGTTCATGTCCACGTCCAAGTCCTCCACGTCCATGACCACGTCCACGTCCACCTCCACGTCGACCACGACCACATCCACGTCCACGTCCACGTCCATGTCCACGTCCACGTCCACGTCCATGTCCACGTCCACGTCCATATCCACGTCCATGTCCACGTCCATGTCCACGTCCACGTTCACGTCCACGTCCATGTCCACGTCCACGTCCACGTCCATGTCCACGCCAAGGTCCTCGTCTACGTCCACGTCCACGTCCACGTCCATGACCACGTCCAAGTTCACGTCCACGTCCATGTCCACGTCCACGTCCACGTCCACGATCACGTCCAGGTCCACGTCCACGTCCATGTCCACGTCCATGTCCACGTCTATGACCATGTCCACGTCCATGTCCACGTCCACGTCCACGTCCACGTCCATGTCCACGTCCACGTCCACGTCCAGGTCCATGTCAACGTCCACTTCCACGTCCATGTCCACGTCCACGTCCACGTCCGCGTCCATGTCCACGACCACGTCCGCGTCCACGTCCGCGTCCATGTCCACGTCCATGTCCATGTCCACGTCCATGTCCATGTCCACGTCCATGTCCACGTCCATGTCCACGTCCATGTCCATGTCCACGTCCACGTCCACGTCCATGTCCACGCCCATGTCCACGTACACGTCCACGTCCATGTCCACGCCCATGTCCACGTCCACGTCCATGTCCATGTCCATGTCCACGTCCACGTCCACGTCCACGTCCATGTCCACGCCCATGTCCACGTCCACGTCCATGTCCACGTCCACGTCCATATCCACGTCCACGTCCACGTTCACGTCCATGTCCACGTCCACGCCCACGTCCACGTCCATGTCCACGTCCACGTCCATGTCCATGTCCACGCCCATGTCCACGTCCACGTCCACGTCCATGTCCACGCCCATGTCCACGTCCACGTCCACGTCCACGTCCATGTTCATGTCCATGTCCACGTCCACGTCCACGTCCACGTCTATGTCCACGCCCATGTCCACGTCCACGTCCATGTCCACGTCCACGTCCATGTCCACGTCCACGTCCACGTCCATGTCCACGTCCACCTCCATGTCCATGTCCACGTCCACGTCCATGTCCACGTCCACGTCCACGTTCACGTCCACGTCCACGTTCACGTCCAGGTCCACGTCCTCGTCCACGTCTATGATCATGTCCACGTCCATATCCACGTCCACGTCCATGTCCACGTCCACGTCCACGTCCACGTCCACGTCCATGTCCACGTCCACGTCCACGTCCAGGTCCATGTCCACGTCCACTTCCACGACCATGTCCGCGTCCCCGTCCACGTCCACGTCCACGACCACGTCCGCGTCCACGTCCGCGTCCATGTCCACGTCCATGTCCAAGTCTACGTCCATGTCCATGTCCACGTCCACGTCCACGTCCACGCCCATGTCCACGTCCGCGTCCACGTCCACGTCCACGTCCATGTCCACGCCCACGTCCACGTCCACGTCCACGTCCATGTCCACGCCCATGTCCACGTCCACGTCCACGTCCATGTCCACGCCCATGTCCACGTCCACGTCCATGTCCACGTCCACGTCCATGTCCACGTCCACGTCCACGTCCACGCCCATGTCCACGTCCACGTCCACGTCCACGTCCACGTCCATGTCCACGTCCATGTCCACGTCCACGTCCACGTCCACGTCCACGTCCACGTCCACGTCCACGTCCACGTCCACCTCCATGTCCACCTCCATGTCCACGTCCACGTCCAGGTCCACGTCCACGTCCACGTCCACGTTCACGTCCACGTCCACGTTCACGTCCAGGTCCACGTCCACGTCCACTTCCACGTCCATGTCCACGTCTATGACCATGTCCACGTCCATGTCCACGTCCACGTCCACATCCACGTCCACCTCCACCTCCACCTCCACGTCCACGTCCACGTCCACGTCCACCTCCACGTCCACGTCCACGTCCACGTCCACGTCCACGTCCACGTCCACGTCCACGTCCACGTCCACGTCCACGTCCACCTCCACGTCCACGTCCACATCAACGTCCACGTCCACGTCCACCTCCACGTCCACATCCACCTCCACGTCCACGTCCACGTCCACGTCCACGTCCACGTCCACGTCCACCTCCACGTCCACCTCCACGTCCACGTCCACGTCCACGTCCACGTCCACGTCCAGGTCCACGTCCACGTCCAGGTCCAGGTCCACGTCCACGTCCACGTCCATGTCCACGTCCACGTCCACGTCCACGTCCACGTCCATGTCCTCGTCCACGTCCACGTCCATGTCCACGTCCACGTCCACGTCCACGTCCACGTCCATGTCCACGTCCACGTCCACGTCCATTTCTACGTCCACGTCCACGTCCACGTCCACGTCCACGTCCATGTCCACGTCCACGTCCATGTCCAAGTCCACGTCCACGTCCACGTCCACGTCCACATCCACGTCCAGGTCCACGTCCACGTCCACGTCCATGTCCACGTCCACGTCCATGTCCACATCCACGTCCAGGTCCACGTCCACGTCCACGTCCATGTCCACGTCCACGTCCAGGTCCATATCCATGTCCACGCCCATGTCCACGTCCACGTCCATGTCCACGTCCACGTTCATGTCCACGTCCACGTCCATTCTCCCGCTTTCCATCACCCCGCCCCATTCTCCCTCTTTCCATCACCTCGCCCCATTCTCCTGCTTTCCATCACCCTTCCCCATTCTCCCGCTGTCCATCACCCCGCCCCATTCTCCCGCTTTCCATCACCCCGCCCCATTCTCCCGCTTTCCATCACCCTGCCCATTCTCCCTCTTTCCATCACCCCGCCCCATTCTCCCTCTTTCCATCACTCCGCCCCATTCTCCCTCTATCCATCACCCCGCCCAATTCTCCCGCTTTCCATCACCTCGTCCCATTCTCCCGCTTTCCATCACCCGCCCCATTCTCCTGCTTTCCATCACCCCGCCCCATTCTCCCGCTTTCCACCACCCCGCGCCATGCTCCCGCTTTCCATCATCCCGCCCCATTCTCCCTCTTTCCATCACCCCGCCCCATTCTCCCGCTTTCCATCACCCCGCCCCATTCTCCCTCTTTCCATCACCCGGCCCCATTCTCCCGCTTTCCATCACTCCGCCCCATTCTCCCGCTTTCCACCACCCCGACCCATTCTCCCCGCTTTCCACCAGCCCGCCCCATTCTCCCGCTTTCCATCACCCCGCCCCATTCTCCCACTTTCCATCACTTTGCCCAATTCTCTCGATTTCCATCACCCCGCCCCACTCTCCCGCTTTCTATCACCCGGCCCCATTCTCCCGCTTTCCATCACCCCGCCCCATTCTCCCGCTTTCCATCACCCCGCCCCATTCTCCCGCTTTCCATCACCCCGCCCCATTCTCCCTCTTTCCATCACCCCGCCCCATTCTCCCGCATTCCTTCACCCCGCCCCATTTTCCCTCGTTCCATCACCCCGCTCCATTCTCCCGCTTTCCATCACCCCGCCCGATTCTCCCTCTTTCCATCACCCCTCCCCATTCTCCCGCTTTCCATCACCCCGCCCCATTCTCCCGCTTTCCATCACCCCGCCCCATTCTCCCTCTTTCCACCACCCCGCCCCATTCTCCCTCTTTCCATCACCCCGCCACATTCTCCCGCTTTCCATCACCCCGCCCCATTCTCCCTCTTTCCATCACCCCGCCCCATTCTCCCGCTTTCCATCACCCCGCCCCATTCTCCCTCTCTCCATCACCCCGCTCCATTCTCCCGCTTTCCATCACCCCACCGAATTCTCCCTCTTTCCATCACCCCTCCTCATTCTCCCTCTTTCCATCACCCCGCCCCATTTTCCCTCGTTCCATCACCCCGCTCCATTCTCCCGCTTTCCATCACCCCGCCCGATTCTCCCTCTTTCCATCACCCCTCCCCATTCTCCCGCTTTCCATCACCCCGCCCCATTCTCCCGCTTTCCATCACCCCGCCCCATTCTCCCTCTTTCCACCACCCTGCCCCATTCTCCCTCTTTCCATCACCCCGCCACATTCTCCCGCTTTCCATCACCCCGCCCCATTCTCCCTCTTTCCATCACCCCGCCCCATTCTCCCGCTTTCCATCACCCCGCCCCATTCTCCCTCTCTCCATCACCCCGCTCCATTCTCCCGCTTTCCATCACCCCACCCAATTCTCCCTCTTTCCATCACCCCTCCTCATTCTCCCTCTTTCCATCACCCCGCCCCATTCTCCCGCTTTCCACCACCCCGCTCCATTCTCCCGCTTTCCATCACCCCGCCCAATTCTCCCGCTTTCCATCACCACGCCCCATTTTCCCTCTTTCCATCACCCCGCCCCATTCTCCCGCTTTCCATCACCCCGCCCCATTCTCCCGCTTTCCATCACCCCGCTCCATTCTCCCGCTTTCCATCACCCCCCCCAATTCTCCCTCTTTCTACCACCCCTCTCCATTCTCCCTCTTTCCATCACCCCACCCCATTCTCCCGCTTTCCATCACCCCGCCCCATTCTCCCTCTTTCCATCACCCCGCCCCATTCTCCCTCTTTCCATCACCCCGCCCCATTTTCCCGCTTTCCATCACACCGCCCCATTCTCCCTCTTTCTATCACCCTGCCCCATTCTCCCACTTTCCATCACCCCGCCCCATTCTCCCGCTTTCCATCACCCCGCTCCATTCTCCCGCTTTCCATCACCCCGCCCAATTCTCCCTCTTTCCATCACCCCTCCCCATTCTCCCTCTTTCCATCAACCCGCCCCATTCTCCCGCTTTCCATCACCCCGCCCCATTCTCCCTCTTTCCATCACCCCGCCCCATTCTCTCGCTTTCCATCACCCCGCCCCATTCTCCTTCTTTCCATCACCCCGCCCCATTCTCCCGCTTTCCATCACCCGCCCCATTCTCCCGCTTTCCATCATCCCGCCCCATTCTCCCTCTATCCATCACCCCGCCCCATTCTCCCACCTTCCATCACCCCGCCCCATTCTCCCGCTTTCCATCACCTCGCCCCATTCTCCCGCTTTCCATCACCCCACCCCATTCTCTCGATTTGCATCACCCCGCCCCATTCTCCCGCCTTCCATCACCCGCCCCATTCTCCCTCTTTCCATCACCCCGCCCCATTCTTCCGCTTTCCATCACCCCGCCCCATTCTCCCTCTTTCTATCACCCCGCCCCATTCTCCCGCTTTCCATCACCCCCGCCCGCTTTCCATCACCCCGCCCCATTCTCCCACTTTCCATCACCCTGCCCAGTTCTCCCTCTTTCCATCACCCCTCCCCATTCTCCCTCTTTCCATCAAACCACCCCATTCTCCCGCTTTCCATCACCCCGCCCATTCTCCCTCTTTCCATCACCCCGCCCCATTCTCTCGCTTCCATCACCC